AAACAATTTCTTGTTATGTATTTAATTGTGAGTAAAAACGACAACAATTTAATTCATAAACTTGATAAGTTGGCAAGTAATCTGTAAAAATATAAAAATTATGCAGGAACTGTTATAATAATCTCACTTTCCGGAGAGTATAACCGAATATTTGTATAATATTGGGTTAAATTCAACAGTTCATATAGTTTGGAACTTTCAAACCATAGAAAACTTAATATTAACACTATATTTTCTATGTCTCAAACTGAATAAAGAAAGCAATTCACCACCATTAAAAATTTTGTAAGCATCTAAGTATCAAAGGTTTCATAAAATATTAGTTGGAGTTTATCATCATACACATAATTATTTTTATCTATATTTAACTTAAATAATATGTAATTACACATTTTATGTGGACTGTTTCTAATCGATTAATATAAGTAACATGAGTATGAGTGTTACACAAATGGTTTATTTATAAAAAAGTATTAGTCCTAACTTAGCCGTAACTTAACCTTAATCTTAGTCTTAAAAATTTAAATGTACAAAATGTAATGTATAGAACTAGGGCAAGGTTAGGATTTTTATAAATTAATACATTACATTCTGTACAATTAACTTTTTAGGACTAACATTTAAGGTTAAGTTACGGCTAGCTTAGGACTAATACTTTTTTATAAACCAACCAATAATGTTGATAAAGATATATGGGTTTGGTTTTTAATAAAACTATATAGCTTAAAACTTACACATCATATTCCTAGTATAATATAATAACAAACAGAAAACTCTTAAGCACTAAATAATTATAAACACAATTCTTGCATTGCAATACTATAATTTACAATTTTCAGAGGATAACCAAAGAAACCAAAGATAACGAAAGCCAAACTTCAAATACGTGCAAAATCCAAACTGCATTACCAACCAACCCAAAATGACAGGGTTAGCATTCTCTACGCCATCTTTTATTTCGGTAGCTAACTAACATGTGACGTCGCCATGACAGTTTTATTATTCATATGTTACATTTCATTCTACGTTAGTACTATATCTTCTATGGATTAAACGGAACAGCGACAGGAGAGGTGCAAATTGGGTAGTCACGAGTGGGGAGGTGAAGAAATTCGTGCATTCTAGTATTTCTCAGGTAGATATTGAAAGAGATTAAGGACAACAAGTACGGGTCATCAATAAAGGAGTTTAGTACTTTGTACTCAAATAGGAGTACTGCAATAACACGCCGATTGTACAGTGAATTGATATTAAACCCTTTACATATGTGAACACTACGAGTAAAATTGTAATCCGGAGATCTATTATATGTCTTAAAATAAAGGAAACTTTAAAAAAAATTATGCACCTTTTCTACACTCTCTGGATATATTTTTGGTATGGAGTGTCAGACCAGTGAAGCATATTCAAGTTTAGTTCTAACTAAACTATTATATAATAAAATGATTGAATTAATATTAAACCTAGCGCTTTATAAGCTGACACAGTTATATTTTCAATATGCAATTTGTATGATAGTTTGGAATCAAACTAAAACACCTAAATCCTTAACATATTCCTGCCTGCTTATTTCAATGCCAATCATTAGATTTTGACAAAATATTGTTTGTTTATTGCGTGTAAAGCATATAGTAAGACATTCCTGGATTTTAAAGCCTAGTTTATTCACCTTGAAGTGATGAGCAATCATTGGGGCATTCAATACGTTTGAATAACTTCACGTCATCTGAAAAGATCAAACAATTATGAATTACGTTGGCCAATCAAAAAAGAGAAATAAAAGTGGCCCCAAGTTAGATCCTTGAGGGACACCAGAGTATGCTCCATACTCGTTAGAAAAAAAAAAACACAATATTTCACGACAAACTTTCTCTCTTGAAGATATATCAACGCAACCAACGAGTCGGCTACTCCACACGCAAAGTTCATTTATTATGGGTATGGTCAACTTTGTCAAAGGCCTTGCGAAAATCAGTGTATAATCGCGTCCCCTTGCACTCCCTACTCAAAAGCCTCTAAAATATGGCGTGTAAAAGTTCGTAAATTGGTAGACGCAGATCGTTTTGGAATAAAGCCATGTTGCTTTGGACTACCGATACTACTGAAATGGTTCCATAACAGCGAAATTTATTGTTTTATAATTAAATTGTAAATAAATGTTAGAGGTTTTTTAAAATATTCCTTTAACACATATACTTCATCGGAGTCTGTCGACCGCTTACGTTTTAATTTCTTCACGGATAAGTCATAATCTGCTTCAATAATTCGCCTTACACGTGACATATGATGAAGTGAAAAAATACTACTATTGAACTCGTAAGTTGCACGTTGGTCAGAATATATCGCGACCTCAACATCATCCTGTCCATTAACTGCCAGCCAATCTGCGTCTTGAAAGACTCTTGAGAAATCTAAGAAATGACAGCGTTTAAAATTATATTGTTTCACATTTTTCGTAGAACATTTTTGGGACGCCCTACTATTAATTTCATCTATACTCGGCGGCCGAAATTATAAAGAGTGACTAATACATAATATAAAAATACTATTACCATAATGCGTATAAAATATAAAATGATTTCTATACGGTTAAATATTAGTTATCTTTGTGCCGCTCGCCATGCACATCGGTAGAATCTATAATCATGTATAGACTGAGTTACACTGAACGTCGATCTATATTTTATCTCTGTCTTTTGCACTTGGTAGGGAATAGGGAAATGCTTTTTTAGTGGGTGTAAACGGACTTGATTTGCCCGACCTGAGAAACGTCATAGCATAAGCGTAGACGAGGGGTCTAATTCCATGGCTATAATAAATTTATAAATTAAAAAAACACAACTGGGACGTTTTAAAATGCTGTAATAATTAAAATTGATCAAAGTGCCGGTTATAGCAAACCGTAAAAAATATTAGATGTTATGTTTTATTACGTTTTTTCAAAATTTGCTATATCTTGTTGCCTTTTACGCAGACACGCCAATGGATTTTCGTTCCCGGCACGCTTCATCCCCCTTACTAGTCCAAGAGCTAGCGATGAATCACTATCTATAATTTTGGCCGTCGAGTATATATTAATTTCTAATGCAGGATTATGCGAGTCCTCCTTAGAATCTGTAATTAGTTCCAAAAAGAAAGTGAGCTGCGGCCTTGGACAGACCAGTGTATCCAATGATGTTGAGCCTCTGAATCCAAATATAAAGTCAAAATTCCCGGATTGGTTCGTTTTTTTACCATAACGTCAAGACACTCCTCTAGAAAGCGGTTTTCGAGATTTCAAACTTACTTGATTAATCAGTGATTGGAAAAACAATCGCATTCATGAGCTCACTGCACCATTGCATTTTCCTAGAGGAGTTTCGGAAATTCTTACTTTAGATTCGGATTTAGCCGATCAAAACATTATAGAATACACTCGTGCTGAATTTTTCGTCAATGATCATTTAAAAAGTTGATTTTATAAATTCAGTTTTACCTAATAAGAATTAATTATTAACGTTTAGAACATTTTCCTGTTTTCCTCAATTTTCAATTTATTACTGTTTTGAGAACGAAAGGAAAGGAATGTAAGAAACTTTAATAAAGTTACAGTGTTTATTTTTTCCTTTTTTTGTGTTGTTGCAGGTATAACCAATGAACTTTTTTTAGCATCAACAAATGCTCAAAGTTTCTAGGTGTCAATCTTAACTATTATTTTACTATTGTCAACATATGCAATTATAAAGGTGTATCATAGTTAATAGCGCAAATTGAAACAGCTGTAAGTACACGATACTAGAAGCAAAAAAGTCTTAGTAAACATGGGTCCGCAAAGAAACCGTTTGCGAGATACATAGTTTACAATTTGCAGTCATAGTTCTGCATTGATATACTGCACTGCTAGGCAATTTGTCAACCACTTGTTAACAACTGAGATTTATTGCCCAGTCGCCCATTGCAGTTGTGTTATACACCGTGTGCCCTCGCGCATATTCTTCAACTGGGCGTATACATTTCTACCACCTTCATGTTTAGTTCGACCAGACCTGTATAGGGGTATGGCTAAATAAATATGGGAACAAGTTTTTCAAATATTCCAGTGCCAAGTTGCTGCGTCAGCGACTGAACCTGGTACATACTGCCAACCTGTTGGTTCTTCAATTGAGATCCGAAAGTATATACGAGCGCACAGCCTCCTGTGCATTGGCTTTAGCCTTACCATACATCAAATGCATATCCGCATATTCCTCGTTACTGTAATGTTTCATTTTACTTACTGTACAATACACGTACACAACTCCACGTCTAGAAAATGTTCAAAAACCACACCACGGACCGTTTTTACTACACAAGAAGTAAACAACAAAACTGGTGCTCAATGCAGTGACAAGAATAACCCTACATCCGAGTACAGGGACGACACTTTGAACCCTTGCAAACATTGTGTAACATGTAACTGTAACATACTAAGACTGTTTTCTTGTCCATTAGAAACAACTGCGCTTCTACCAAAGTATCTAATAACTTTTCTTAATGCTGTATTAGTAACTTTTTCTAATTAGGATGACGTTTACACTCAATCAAGTCAATGTGGCTGATAATCAGAAATTCTAAATTATCTCGCAAATGGCTCGTTTGCGAACCCATGTTTACTAAGACTGTTTTGCTTCTAGTACCGTGTACTTACAGCTGTTTCAATTTGCGCCATTAATTACGGTACACCCTGTATATTTACGTATATATTATAGGCAATTCTGTTTTAGCTTTAGTTTTAATACAAATGATGGCTGCTTCTCTGCAGCAGCAACAGAATAAGAGAATAAGAGAGGTCACTTGCATCAGATATACGAAATACTCGAAATTATTTTTATCAGATTAAGAACTCATAAAACTAGCGGTTTTATGTATTTTATTCTGAGACTTGTTGCATGCTATTTTAGAATTCTGGCACTTTTAAAGAAATTAGTAACTGTATTCTGCAAAAATATTTATTTTTATCATATAAGTATAAATACAAATATAGTTTTAAAATTATAAGTAAACAAGTTAATTTTATAATTTCCATCTTTTTTAATCCCTTTTCAAAAAGGATCTTAAGCTAAATAATCTCCGATTATTATTATTGACAAACTTTATGTCTCATTTCTCGGCAAATCGTTTAATGAGCATTCCAGTTCATGGATACGCATATTAGAAGTGCTGTCGAAGAAGGTGCACCCATTGACGTCGAACTGACAAGACACCTTCATATCATTAGCCATCTCCTCCAGAGTGTAATTCCTTGATCCGTCTAAAGAGGCCTGGCACGTGGGACACTTCTGCAGTCGCGGCTTACATTCATTACAAAAGGTATGGCCAGTGACACAAGTGAATATCGGAGCAGTCATATAAGCCATGCAATAAGGGCAGCTGAGCGCTCTTCGAACGGCCTCCACGTTGCTTTGCGATGCAAATTTACCTTCGTTTCTATCTTCTTCCTCCGTCATCTGATCGGGATCTTCAGTGATAGTTTCATCAGCAATCATTTTTATGAAATATCTGAAGGAAAAGTCATATTTGTCATAAAAGTCAGGATGATACCAAAAAGTAAGTCAAGCCATTAACAACGACATTTTTGGAGCAAAGGTAATAAAACCACAATTAAAAAAATATTTTTGTTAATACCTATGTTGTTATAGGGGATCAATAGGCACTAGGTAGATATACTTATTAAGATTCATATTTCAAAAGATAATGGAGCTGATTATTGAAAACTTATTTTATTTTGAATTTTTGGTATTTTGAAAAAGGGGCGCCTAGGTGTAAAATGGCATAAATAAGGCTTGACTTCTTTTTCTATTTTCTTCCGAAAACACATTATATACAAGGTGCTCCTTCCGTAAAAGGTAGCTTCGTTGAATGGAAATATACCTGTTTAGATTAAGTTGCGTGTTTCTTTAAAGAGTTCTTTTGAAAAAAAAAAAACAGTTTTTGAAATATTCCAACCATGTGATAAGAGTTTTTGAGGTAACCGAAAATTAATATGATTGTTGCTATATACAGAATGGTCCCGAGGAAATGGGCCGAACTTACCTTAAGTTGATAGTTAAAGAGATACAGGGTGTTAAATGTAAAATATTATTTTAGTTTTTTCATTTATTTCTAAATAAATGTAAATATCCACACAAAATTCTGTTCATATTTTGGTTACAGTTCATAGAGGGCGCTAGCTGCAGTAGATCGAATGTATTAAAACGACATAACTTTTTTATACTTTAAGGTATCTCATCTTTGATATCAGATTCTTATTTTCCTACTTTTTTTACACAAAAAAAGTATGCTTTATGAAAGTAGCTATCTCGCATCATTTTCGAGATGCTTGGCTTTGAAACTTCCAATAGTTGAAATAATTAAAATAATTTAGAAATGGCAAATGCAAGGGTTTATTTAGAATTAAAAATTGTATTGAACAGTAAAAAACATTAGCAAAAAATATAAAAATATGCCTTTTTAATAATAATTGCTCAAAATGTCCACCTCTAACTTCAATACATTTATCAACGCGTTTATTAAAAGATTGTCTTCCTTTAAAGTATAAATCCTTATCGCGAAATGACTCCAGAGCATTTAAAACCTGCTGCTAAAGTTATTCCCAAGTGTTTATAGTTTCTATATAAACAACTGATTTCATGAAACCCCAAAAACAATATTCCATGGGGTTGAAATCGGGGCTGTGAGGAGGCCATGACATTCGACTCCCACGACCTATCCAACGATCCGGAAAAGTTTGATCAAGATAGTACTTGGACAGAAAAATGAGGGGAGCCCCATCTTGCATGAAGCAGAAATGTTGCCGTAAATTTAATGATAAATCATCCAGGTAAATAACTAAATGGTGCTGCAGGAAATCTAAATACAACTCACCTTTCAAATTCGGAGGAAGTTAATGTGGACCCAGATGGTGGTTCACTATAATTCCACACCAAACATGTATCTTGAATTCTCGTTGAAAGTGACGCTCAGTAACTACGTAAGGATTTTCATTGTTCCATATGTGTTTGTTTCTAAAATTGAAAACTCCTCGATGGGTAAAGGTGGCTTGATCGGTAAATAGCACATTATTTAAAAATTCACGGTCAAGGTTTTGCCGAGTGCGTATAAAATGCGTAAACTGTAATCTACCTGGGAGGTCTGCTGGTAAAAGATTTTGAACTGGTGTAAAATTATAGGGATACACCTTTATTTATTTACACCGGTGCGGTGGTTCTATCTATTTGCTTACTACTAACTTCTGGATTTTCTGCCACCCGAGTTAAAATTTCTTCTTATTGGTCTTCTGTAATAGTGCGCCTGATGTGTCCCACATTATCCCTTTTAGGACGAAAAGTGCCAGTTTATCCAAGTCGATTAAAAATGTCTTGAAATAGCTTTCGATTTAGCTGCCTTCTGTTTGAATGTAACTCTAAATACCAACGATGCGCTCTATGTAACGAGCGTTCAAATAAAAACGTGGTCGAAGTTGGCTCTGACACATTGAACGTAGGGAGTAGCTTATAGCGACCAACTTAACCTCATTTCTCAACGAGCTGTATAGCAGCTGTCAGTTTCAATAACGTTAATGACTATATAACTTTATTTTAAAGAATAATCGTGATAACAATAACAAACAATTAAAGGAGCTGCGGAAAGTGTCCCCCTCCTTGTTATAACAATAAATTAAAGCAGCTGCTGAAAGTGTCCCCCTCCTTGTTCCAAGCACTTTTCACACCTGTTCCTCAAAGAATTAAAGACATTTTCTAAGATGCTCGGGGTATTGTTAATTTCACGAATCTTGTCTATAAGTCGAGCCTGCAGATGGTTTAAATCAGGAATAGGCAGTTCAAAAATAGTGTTTTTAAGGTAAGGCCACAAAAAGAAATCACACGGCGTAATATCACATGACCTCGGTGGAAATTCATGTTCAGCATTGAGACTTATTAGTCGATTTTGGAAAACTTCCCTCAACATATTCATCGTCTCGCCTGCCGTATGTGCCCTTGCGCCATCTTGTTGAAAGTAAAAGTTTGTAATTTCGTTTTCTTCCAGCTGGTTAACAAAAGGAGCGATAATTTCTTCTCTATACCTTTGCGCAGTAAGAGTACCATTAAAAAAAATAGGTCCATAAATCCTCCTTCGATTGAGAGCACACCAAACTCCAATTTTTTGAGCGTGTAGAGGGCCCTCGACAAAAAAGTTATCTGGTTTTTCAGAAGACCACATTCTCATATTCTGTGAGTTTACGTAACCACTTAAATGAAACCAGGCTTCATCAGAAAAAAAGGTGATATTATGAAGTTCACCGTAGTTGTTTAAAAACCATTCACAAAATACAGCCCGTCGCGGAAAATCAACTTCATGAAGTTCTTGCTGACAAGTTAAACGATAGGAGAACAAACGCAAATCTTTTTTTAACACTGTGTGGCAGGTACCGACTGATACTCCCACCATTTGTGATAAAACACGTACAGAAGTTCTTGGCGCATTTTCCATTATTTGTTGGACATTTTCTTTTAATTCTTCAGTCCGCTTTTTAGGTCGGCCGCTTCCTTCTTTTCTTGTTACACTGCCCGTTTCACGAAAAACATTAACACAACGCTGAACTGCACTTTGAAAAATTTTGTACTCAACAACGCCGGGAAATTGATTTTGAAATTCTATGAAACATTCCTCAATAGAATACTTCCATATTCCATCAATCTTGCGTCCATTTCTAAAGTAGGACTCTATGATAAACACTTTTTGTTCTTGAGAAAACACCATTTAAACGCTGTTTAAAACGAAAATATTCAAATTGATAGCGGCGATATAGCGCTTTGACAAATGACGTTGAAGTTCATTTGCTATACGCTACGCCCTACGTCCAAATTTTCAGAACCAACTTGACCACGTTTTTATTTGAACGCTCGTTACAATAAAATCTGTTTGCGTATAAACGCAGACCATATCACGCATTCCTTCATTTGAAAAGAAATTATGTCTCGGCATTCTATCTCACTTTTATGTACATACAATTTAAATTGTAAGCTAAGATGTAATTTTAATTAGGTATGAATAATACTGAATGGAAAGTAGCATACAAATGACAGCAGTAAGACAAGTGGAAAACGTCATTTATTTGATTTTCGTCCAAAGCCTACTTAAGAAATTTTACCGCTAAATGAATAATAGGTAGGTACTTAATTGTAATTTAATACAACCGCATTGGAAGTTTCAAAGCCAAATATCTCGAAAACGGTGCGAGACAGCTACTTTCATAAAGTATACATTTTTTGCGTAAAAGAAGTTGGAAAATAAGAATTTGATATCATAGATGAGATACTTACCTTAAAGTATAAGAAAGTTTGTCGTTTTAATATATTCAATCTACTGCAGCTCGCGCACTCTATGAACTATATAAAAAATGTTTCTTCGACCCAAGAATTAAGAAATAAATGAAAAAAAACTAAAATAATATTTTACATTTAACACCCTGTATCTCTTTAAGTATTAACTTTTGGACTAAGGTAAGTTCGGCTAAATCGCAATATTTTTGCTTCGGGAATGAATTTTGGCCTCGGGACTACCCTGCATACCTAGGATGGGCCATTAGTGTGAGAAAGTAAAGTAATTTTCTTTTTACTCATAATACAGAAAACAGTTTATATAAAAGTTTTACGGAATCAAGAAACCTAAACTACAAAATTAATTTGATACACACCGAGTGATGAGGACACGCCAAATATTACATTTTTTAAATTAAAGTTATACCCTATATATTTATATACAGGGTGGGCCATTAGTGTGAGAACTCCTTTGTTATTCATAATACAGAAAAAAAGTTTATATAAAAGTTGTACAGCATCAAAAAACCTAAAGGGCAAAATTAATTTGAAACACACAGGGCGATGAGTAAAAACGGGACACGCCAAATATTACATTTTTAAATTTAACACCCTATATATTTTTAAACATCTGGATTTATGAGAAAGTTCTATATATGGCAATATAAACAATTTATCATTTTAGTGCGGGGTTGCCAAGTAGAAAATTCTTCGAATTTTGGAAAAAACATGACCTCGAAGAAGTTATATTGACTTTCAACTACTAACACTTGGAGCAAAAATATTTGAGAGAGTTATAGGCAAATATTAGGCAAAGACTCCTATATTAGCTAATATTGATATTTTATACAGGGCATTTTTTAAAATACGATCATTTTTAGAAAGTTTAAACTTGATTTTCTAAAATTTTTCGAATGGTCCACTTCAACTTTTATTAAGCATTCTATATCTAAAGTTGTTAATTTTAAGATTTAATAAGATAGCAACATTTCTGAAAGAACTTAATTTTACTTACTTACTTACTTTACTTTATAAAATACCACAAATAAATATTAACTAATCAAATTAACTCAAAATAGAATGATAAATTATGAACTGACAAGTTGACACAATGAGACAGTTTCTTCCAAAGCCATTTCGTGCTACTGAAAATAATAAAAATTAGTTTTTTCCAGAAATCTTGCTATATTTTAAAAACTAACAATTTTAGGTGTAGAACATGCTTAATAAAAGTTGATGTGGACCAATATGTGAATAAAATAGAACAATAAAATATAGGGTATTCCATTTGAAAAATTTCAGAAAATCAAGTCTGAACTTTCTTAAAATGATCGTATTATAAAAAATGCCCTGAATAAAATATCGATATTAGCTAATATAGGAGACTTTGCCTAACATTTGCCTATAACTCTGTCGAATATTTTTGCTCCAAGTGTTAGTAGTTGAAAGTTAACACAACTTCTTCGAGGTCACGGTTTTTCCAAAATTCGAAGAATTTTCTACATAACTTGGCAACCCCGCACTAAAATGTTAAACTGTTTATATTGCCATATATAGAATTTTCTCAGAAATCCATGTGTTTAAAAATATATAGGGTGTTAAATTTAAAAAATGTAATATTTGGCGTTTCCCGTTTTTACTCATCGCCCTGTGTATTTCAAATTAATTTTGTCCTTTAGGTTTTTTGATGCTGTACAACTTATATAAACTTTTTTTCTGTATTATGAATAACAAGGGAGTTATTTTTCTTTCTCACACTAATGGCCCACCCTGTATATAAATATATAGGGTGTAACTTTAAGTGGAGGTCAGTTTTTTACGGATTGTATGTGTTCCCCTGAATAAGAATCTGAAATTATTTTTTTTAATCAAATAACAAGTCGAGTTATAATTAATTTTTTAAACTGCATGCGCTTTAATTCTTGTGTACGCCGTCACTGAATGGCTTAAACCAGCGCACCCGGAATTTACGTATGAAGTTGTATTCTTCACTGCCAGAGTTGCCAGTTGCTTTTATATCAGCTATATTATGTATGAAAAATAAGTTAGCAAAACAGATTGTTTTTGTATAATTTAGGGATTTGTTATTTTAAAGTCGCCATATATCACTGTGGATGAAGAGCCGAACTTTTAAAAAAAAATTCTACAATTTCTAAAAATAATAATAAAGTTTTACATGATTTATTACACATATCATGTAGATATGGTACTAATTGTAAACAGGTACATTTTTTAATCCACTGCTACACAGCGAAACTAATGAAAAAATAATTTAGTGGTGGAAGCGCCGGACACTAAAAAAACAGTTTTTTTTAAGAATTGTGCTAAGGTAACTTGGTCTAAATCGATATATGTTTAGCCTTGCAAAATTGCTCAATTTCTGAACACCCTGTATAATAAACATGAAATTATGTAGTAGCCTAATTAGACTTCATACAAACAATTCATACCTTACTTCGTCTTTATAAATTGAGTTGCGCGTTAGATCATTTTTGAGGTCACTTGTGAAATAACTGGTATCAATGTTGTTATTCTCTATGTTTTTCAGGCGAGTGTGATTTTCGTGGCATATTTCTTGGATACACATAAAACAGTGATATTTGTCATCGTAAGTAATTACTGGTAAATCATCAAAAGATACCACAAAATTATCATTTGGTCGTAATTTCAGTTTCACGCTGAATTTGGTGTATTTACTACGTCTGGTAGCCAGTACAGCTACCATACTTTCTTCAAGAATATATACAAAGAAAAAAATATTCTCTTTTTGCAGAAGAAGTATATTGTTCGTGTCGTTCAACACCTCAAAGCTATTCCCTGTCGATTCGACCAGTCTAATTACTTTTTTATGTTTATTTTCGAAGTGGTCTGCAATTCCTTCAACTAAAATATTCCTGCAACAATTATCGTCGAATAAAGGGCATCTTATAGTTCTGTAATGACAATTTTCTTCATGTTCCTCTAGCCGCCTTTGAGGTATTCTCTTAAGGCACAAAGGATAGGGGCAAGAAAAATATAATTTTTGAGCCACTTCTTCAAGAAATCGGTTTCGGGACCATCTCGACGTTCCGTAAATGATCCACTTGCACCTGCCACATTTATACAGTTCTTTACCTTCATCCACATTTAAAATAACGATAGGTGGGATGGACAATAGGCGATCACAGATGCAGCATTTGTACTTTTTAATGAGTTCGTACAATGTTTTTTCCATCTAGGAGAAATTTTCACAAATCTGGCTCTGTAAAGAATGTACAAATTGATAATCTTAGTGGTACACAGTAATATCAATGGTGCACACTGATCGGCAGCAGATAAACAATACAGATCAAATTAATGTACAATGAGCAACAAAAGTCATGGACATTATGCGTAATATAAAAGAAATACGTTACAATAAAAAGATTCTGTTTTCTTGAACTGAGAAAAAAAAAGGTGGGATAGGTACGGATTAAGGTATTAAAGTACTGAGACAAGTAACCTTATAGGTCATAACGTCTGTCTGAAAAACATCGGACATAAAATGAAAACCAGCAGGTTTTTGTTTTTAACGCTATACATATAGCTAGAGCTTATTCCACAGTGGTCTGCACCATACGCTTCGTGTAGTGGAATGACCAGTAATAACACAGCGCCACAAAAAGGCACCTGATGGTTCGATAGACCAGACCATGATGTCTATACGTTTTTGAGGTCGTTTAAGCCTAATCTGGAGTCCGTTAAAACTTTGACCATTCTTTTACGTTTTTGGGCTCGCTGATTCCGAATTCAGCGTTAGGTTTTCAAAATTCACTATGGCGGATCCAATATAACGGCACAAGTATTAACAATTTTAGAATATTGAAAAATAAAAAATATTGTCGAATTTTGAATGAAATTTTAAGTAAAAAGTATCTTCAGTAATTTTTCGATTAAAAGCATATTTTCCGAGAAAAATGTTCATGAATAAACATTTCAATCTATTTCTTTGTATTGTGTTTGCAACGAAAACAGACATTAAAAAATGTGTATGTGGTAAAAAGAGTTTTTGGGGTCGCTAATTCCGAATCTAGCGTTAGATTTTCAAAATTCAAGATGGCGGATCCAATATGGCGGGCCAAGTATTAGAAATTAGTAAAAAGGATCCCTATCAATTTTTCCATTAGAAGCATATTTTCCGAGAAAAAAATTCATTATTATTCGAATATTTGTATGTTTAATATAAGTAAACCTTAAATTACATTTTTTTACATTCTCATGTGGACTACTTCTCAAAGAATTTAGGAGATTACGGTGATGAGCAGGGAGAAAGATTTCATTAAGACATTAAGGAAATGGAGTGTAGATACAGGTAATTGCGATGTAAATATGACAGCCGATTACTACTGGACGTTAAAACGAGATTTATCCGTTAAATAAAAAAAAAGGTAAGAGGAATCCAATCCGCAATTCTTTTGACAATAAAATTGGTCGACATGATAAAGGTGAGGTAGACTTGTAATGAGGATTTACATTCAGTAAGCCCAAAAACGTATAAGGATGGTCTCTTACTACGCTCACACGGTTTTTCTCGATTTGACCTTGAAATGGCCTTAAAACTGACGTGATAGAGTTAAAAAGACACCAGATTCGGAATTAGTAACCTACACAACTTCTTTAACCATAAATACATTTTGCAATACCTATCTGCATTCGTTGCAAGCGTAGAACAAACAGCATATTATTCCATTATGTATTTTTTTTTCTTGAATATAGGTATGCTTCTAATCGAAAAATTGATAGGAACACCTTTTACTTAAAATTGTATGTAAGTTTCGACAATATTTACTTATTTTTCAATATTTTAAAATAGTTAATATTCGGTCCGCCATATTGGATCCGCCATCTTGAATTTTGAAAATCTAAGACTTGATTCGGAATAAGCGACCCCAAACAAATAATCCGCATACACATTTTTTAATGTCTCAGTTTTCGTTGCAGGCGCAATACAAATAAATAGATTAAAATGTTCTAATAGTCATGAATTTTTTTCTCGGTAAAAGTGCTTCTAATTGAAAAATTATTGGAGGTTCTTTTTACTTATAATTTCATGTAGAATTCGACAACGTTTTTATTTTTCAGTATATTAAAATTTTTAATACTCGTGCCGCCATATTGGATCCGCCATCTTGAAATTTGAAAATCTAACGCTGGATTCGGAATCAGCGACCCCAAAAATTTATAAGAATGGTCAAATTTTTTGCACTAACTTTTTTTCGCGATATGATCTTGGATTGACTTTGACCCTGACCTGATCGGACCCCAAATTCAGATTCAGCGACCCCAAAAACATATGGATATCGTGGTCTAGTCTTTCGGAGCTGTGTAATCAATCATAGACTGATGTATCCAAGATGCACTACGGTGCGCTCTAAATAGACCTTATCTTTACACTCATTATTCCTGACTTTTACTGCACACTGTAGGTCTGTTCCAACAAGAGTCAGGGATTGGTTCCGAACCGTCAGAAATGTGCATCCAACTAATTCTTGAGATATATTCACTGAAGACACATTTAGAACTTAGCTGGCCAAACATTTCGAACGGTTCGGAACCAATCCCTGACTCTTGTTGGAACAGACCTTGTATCTCTTAGAAGTTTTAAAAATATCTCTAATATCGATAACTACAAATGTTCTATTTATCGAAAATAAATCCAAAATCTTAATCTCTTTATAGTCACGATAATAATGCATAAGGTGATCCTATTTTCCTGGTGACAAAATGTGTAAAAATAGAGAAAATGTTCCTACAAATCTATGTCGAAAATGTTTAATTTCCGTAACATACATATAGGAATAAATTTCTGGAGTTATGTTTTTAGGGCCAGATTTTAAAAGCAATATCTTATTCTCAGCCCTAGAAAACACCAGTTACATAAATATGATCCTATTTTTTTATCCTTTCGATATGAATAATTTGTATAAAAACGAAGAAAGTTCCTCCAATTTTGAGTAAAAATACTAATAGAAAATAAGAGAAAACAACAATTTTCACGATAAAATGATTATTTGTTATATCAAAAGGAAAATTTGAAATAAGATGATGATAATTTAGGATAATAACTTTTAAAATAAGACAAAGAACATTTTGGAACAAGAGAAATTCGAAGTTTTGCTAACAAATAGAAAAATAGTATTGTAAAAAAAGTTATTTTATATTGAAATAGTTCTAGCTGGACCTGTGTTCGTACTTGTGGCAACTTAAATTGATTGTTCTCTCCTTGGTGTCCCATTTTAAGTGTTTTGGTTATCCCACGCATGTTTAAAATGAAATCAATCTATTTCATTTATTCTGGATTCTACTTGATCTATTTTGGAGTTTAGATTACGTTAAATTACATTTTTCTTTTGACGTGTGAAAATTATCAGTTAAAACAGATTGTAAATAGATTATGTTTAACCATTAAAATTCACAAAACATGAAATTAAAATTGTTCAAAATATACTGCGAAATTCAATAAATTTTTTGACTTTCAGCTACCACGTATACTACTACTCTGAAACATAATGAATTAATTAAAAATGTCATTATTTTTATCCCAATTGTTAATATGTGAAGAACAATAAGTATAGATCATATTTACTTCAACAATAAAATGTTACTAGTTTCAAAATATTCTCAAAATTTATATTTTTTATAAACTCCTATAAAAATCATCAATTATTTTATAAATATTAATAATTTTTTCCGCATTAAATTTTGCCTTTATAAAATATTCCAATTTTCCCTATTGCAAATATTTAACAATATATATGGATTCAGAATATGTGTTTGTTTTCATACAACCATAAAATGACAAAGTAATGGTCAAATTAATTTCAGCAATTGTTGTTTAAAAATATATTTTTGACATTTTTTATTGCTATAATAATATAAGATTATATTGGTGATCCACTTATAAAATTTATTTCACTTATTATTAATTAATAATATATTTAGAAACTAATGGTTAAATTTGAGAAATGTGTAACAGATATTAGCAGTTACAATTTAGGAATTCCCCGAATTTCTCTACCAATGTTCAGTATTCAGTAAGGATACATAATTTATCTCATTAACACTTACCTAGAACAGTTACTTTCATTAATTGACACTTACTTCTACCAAGGTCTAAATATTCTATTGGCAAAAACTAAAAAAAGCAACCCAAATTAAAAACCCAAACGAAAAAAAAAAATCCAGTTTTCAAATGCAATGTTTATCTAATCAATTTTATCTAATCTTTTTGTATTTACTTATTTATAGCTACGTAGATATATAAACATGCAGAACAATTCACAGTATTTTACAGATATGGTAAAAATAACGATAAAATTATTATCATAATCGTAACGATTGCATCAGGATGAGAAGCATCCTGCTAAACAATATTACGCTAAACAGATATACAGTGTTCCGATTTATAACATAATTAAAAAACAGTTCAAACTCAGATATATATCTCAAATATATACTAAAAAGGCGCACAAGACTACAATTTCATAAAAAATCCTAAGCTTACAATTTTTAGGATATTTTTTGAAAAATTGTATATGTAACAATTTTTTAATCCGATATCACCACCACAGACAAAATAGCTATCGCCACAGACCGCTACTGGAATAGGCAAGCAGTTTTAAATTTCCAAATTGCCGTTAGAGTACACCACCAGCAGAATTTTAAGAAGAATCAAATGCAGCGGCCCGCATACCTACGCGTATCCAAGCAACATATAAACAAGACTTTGGTAACGTTGCCAGGCGTACTTACGGATTTCTTTTGTACACCTTTTTATCAATATCTGTTTTTTGCGTTACTGTATTTACTTAAATGTATGAAATAGGTATGAAATCAACGAATATCTATGTAGTTTCTTATGATATTCTGCAGCGGTGTTACAATTAAGTAATTTAATCAAAATTTCGTTAATTAGCTACCTACTATTTTCATTTTTTGATATTGAAATACTGCAGAAAATATATTTCCAAATAAACAAAATTCGTAATGATATTTTAAACAGCTTGTAATATAATTTTTTTAATATTTGATGATAACGATAAATTTATTTAATACACAAGGTGGGTTATCAGTACGTCGCGGAATGTAGGTACATGTTTTTTTTTGTATTTTGACATCCACTTATAGATTTAATAAATTAAAGATAGAAAGAAACTTTAAATACAAATGTACAACTTTTCATTTATTTCTTTTGACATCAAAATTTGCTGGCATAAAATATATGTTCAAAATAAAAAAAATTAAAACTCATCCTTATGAAAATAACAAACAACGATTTTTATAACTAACCTTTACAATAACATAAGGAGAATACCTAATTACGAANTCAAAATATTCTCAAAATTTATATTTTTTATAAACCCCTATAAAAATCATCAATTATTTTATAAATATTAATAATTTTTTCCGCATTAAATTTTGCCTTTATAAAATATTCCAATTTTCCCTATTGCAAATATTTAACAATATATATGGATTCAGAATATGTGTTTGTTTTCATACAACCATAAAATGACAAAGTAATGGTCAAATTAATTTCAGCAATTGTTGTTTAAAAATATATTTTTGACATTTTTTATTGCTATAATAATATAAGATTATATTGGTGATCCACTTATAAAATTTATTTCACTTATTATTAATTAATAATATATTTAGAAACTAATGGTTAAATTTGAGAAATGTGTAACAGATATTAGCAGTTACAATTTAGGAATTCCCCGAATTTCTCTACCAATGTTCAGTATTCAGTAAGGATACATAATTTATCTCATTAACACTTACCTAGAACAGTTACTTTCATTAATTGACACTTACTTCTACCAAGGTCTAAATATTCTATTGGCAAAAACTAAAAAAAGCAACCCAAATTAAAAACCCAAACGAAAAAAAAAAATCCAGTTTTCAAATGCAATGTTTATCTAATCAATTTTATCTAATCTTTTTGTATTTACTTATTTATAGCTACGTAGATATATAAACATGCAGAACAATTCACAGTATTTTACAGATATGGTAAAAATAACGATAAAATTATTATCATAATCGTAACGATTGCATCAGGATGAGAAGCATCCTGCTAAACAATATTACGCTAAACAGATATACAGTGTTCCGATTTATAACATAATTAAAAAACAGTTCAAACTCAGATATATATCTCAAATATATACTAAAAAGGCGCACAAGACTACAATTTCATAAAAAATCCTAAGCTTACAATTTTTAGGATATTTTTTGAAAAATTGTATATGTAACAATTTTTTAATCCGATATCACCACCACAGACAAAATAGCTATCGCCACAGACCGCTACTGGAATAGGCAAGCAGTTTTAAATTTCCAAATTGCCGTTAGAGTACACCACCAGCAGAATTTTAAGAAGAATCAAATGCAGCGGCCCGCATACCTACGCGTATCCAAGCAACATATAAACAAGACTTTGGTAACGTTGCCAGGCGTACTTACGGATTTCTTTTGTACACCTTTTTATCAATATCTGTTTTTTGCGTTACTGTATTTACTTAAATGTATGAAATAGGTATGAAATCAACGAATATCTATGTAGTTTCTTATGATATTCTGCAGCGGTGTTACAATTAAGTAATTTAATCAAAATTTCGTTAATTAGCTACCTACTATTTTCATTTTTTGATATTGAAATACTGCAGAAAATATATTTCCAAATAAACAAAATTCGTAATGATATTTTAAACAGCTTGTAATATAATTTTTTTAATATTTGATGATAACGATAAATTTATTTAATACACAAGGTGGGTTATCAGTACGTCGCGGAATGTAGGTACATGTTTTTTTTTGTATTTTGACATCCACTTATAGATTTAATAAATTAAAGATAGAAAGAAACTTTAAATACAAATGTACAACTTTTCATTTATTTCTTTTGACATCAAAATTTGCTGGCATAAAATATATGTTCAAAATAAAAAAAATTAAAACTCATCCTTATGAAAATAACAAACAACGATTTTTATAACTAACCTTTACAATAACATAAGGAGAATACCTAATTACAAATCAACATGCAAGTAATTGTGATGATACAGTTGAAAATATATTTTAATTTACTATTAATTGCTTCAAAAACAAATTCTAAATTATCAAACATTTTGTTCTGTATTTTTCTTTCAATACTTGCAAATTTTCAGTCTTTAATAATATATTTTGTTGAAGTGTCTTCACAAAAATATGTCTAAAGAACTGACATCGGGACTGTTTTCTGGCCACCTAGGGTTTCTAATAATATTTCTTAGTGTTCCTTGACGGCATTCTTCCTCCAAAATAAATTTGCCAATATTCCTGAAGAACTTTTGCACATTATTGTTTTTTGAATAGTACAGTTTAATTATGTTTTATTTTTCATCAGAATAACCCATTGAAATTTTTAAAATTTTTTAAATTAAAATGGGTTAGTCTAATAATGATAAATCCCATGTATTTTTAAAAGAAGGTTAATTTCTGTCGTTTTTGTCTGATTGTGTGCGAGAGAGATAGAGATATAGTGTGCGATAGAGTGACTCTGTCCTCATAGAGGGCTTCTATATATATATATATCTGCTGTTTTCAGGAGTCTCTGGGGATTCCCCAGCAATTTCAGGACACCTTAGCCTTCGTTGTCGATCTATGATGTCACACCGTATGAGAAAAAAAACGGTTTTTGCTCGTAACTCGGAAATGTCTGAAAATATAAACAAATCTCCCTTTGGTTCTGAGTAAAGCACTCGGTGTGTGACGCAGAGCGAGGTGTCACAACATATGAAAGAAAAAGACAGTATTTGCTTGTACATCGGAGACTAAAAGTATCAAAAACTCTCTCCCATGGTTCTGATTTGTGATCGAGTGAAAAACGTTAATCTGCATGTCAAAAAAAAAAAAATCGGGACCAACGGTGTGTGATAGGATAAAAAAGTGTTTATAACTCGGAATTGCGTTGAATGCAAAAGGTCCGAAGTCCATATGTAGAAAATAAACTGAAACAAGAGGTGCGTGAGATGATACAGTAAAAATGGTCTTATAACTCGGCAACAGTGCGGTGCGGTAAAAAAATCTCCCCACTCTCTCCCCTGATTGTCCGTTCTGCGTTGAATGCAAAAGGTCCGAAGGTCGAAAATAAATTTTGGAAACAAGAGGTATGTGACGTCATAGAGTAAAAAGGCCGTATGACTCGGAAAGGTGCGTTAAATTGAAAAAATAATTCAAAAAATCTCCTCACACCCGTGGATCTGATTGTCCTTTCCGCGTTGAATGAAAAATGTCCCAAGTCCGTATGTGGAAAATAAATTTCGGAAAGAAGAGGGGTGTGAGGTGATACAGTAAAAAAAGGTCTTATAATTCGGAAACGTTGAATCGAAAAAATAATTTAAAAAATCTCCCCACTACTCTGGTTCTGATTGTCCGTTCTGCGTTGAATGGAAAAGGTCCGAAGTCAGTATGTCGAAAAACGAAAAAGTTAGTCAAAAATTGCAACAGCAATGATTAATTATTTGTTATTTTTTTTATAAATTTCGTATTCACCTACTCCTTGAGGTTCCAGCAATTTCACAATGTGTTAATTTTTTTGAACACCTTGTGTCACAAATATGTGCACTGCACTACCAATGGCATCCATGATATGCAACACTAATGTTAATAATTATTTTACCTATCTAAAGAAATCAACAATAAAAGAGCAGTACCTATCTAAGGATACACAACCTGTATAATGCAATTTTTTTAAACATAGGTGTTAATATCGTACCATATTGGAAGTCGACGCACAAATTTAAAAACATTAATTTCAAGTTTTTGAATTTTCCCATTCCAAGGTGATATAAAAGAAATAATAAATAAATTAAAATAATTAATTAGGTAAATTCATAGTTTTAATTCTAACTTGATTTATTTTATTTAGCATTTAAGACAAATGCGATTTCCAAACAGAAGATAAGTTCAATATCTCTTTAATTACGTAATTGAATGCATTAAATAATTTATTTAGCAGTTAGTATCTGGCAACAAAGCCACCGCTGGAACTGCCGCCTATTACCAAGTAGAAGAGTTACCACGCCAAATTTCATTGATGGATGCCGGCTAATAAAAGCCTGCATCCATTTCGGGTTGCCAATTTCCAGCATCTAACAAGC